TAAACCGGGCATCTCGGTCGCACTCCAAACAAACAGATCGGCATTTCCCCTTAGGAAAGCCTTGAGTTTCCTCTTCGCAAAGTCGGGGAGGTCCACTCCGATCTTTACTCCCCTGGTTGGGTCTTCTCCGAGAGGAACTAGCTCGAAGTCACCATTCGGGATGGGTCGTGGGTTACTTGAGAGTTCATTGTGACCAGCAGAGGAGGTTGATTCTTCGCCCTCGACCATCGGCTCCTTCCCTCTCCTCCTCTGCTCGACCCGATCTTCCATGGAGAAGCGACTATAGAGGTCAATGGTGTCAACCCTTGGCAGCGTCCTACATTCCTCAGAGCTGGAGAGCAGTATGGCTCCAATGGTCGTCTGAGGTTCGACATTGATGGAGTTGAGGCCCTTCGTAGAAGCTTCCAAGCACCTCGGCAGTGTAGTATTTCATCTTGAGATTAACGATGGAGGGGACCATGATGAGCTCGACGATAGTGGGTCTCTCGAAGATGCATTAGTAGAGAGATAGGCAGTCCACCACCAAGAATTAGGTCTTGATGGCTCTGGTCATTATCCCCCTCTCAAAAGTGACGATCAACTCTACGTATCCCCATGGATTCGTGGTGGCCCCGTTGAAACCTTGAAGATCAGAACCCACATAGGGGGTTAGGTGGATCTCGTTCAGCTGCAAAGTGCTGAACAATTGGGCGTACATGATTTCCACGAAACTGCCATGGTCGACCAAAATGCGACGCACATCAAAGTTAGCCATTCGAGCTCTCACGATTAGTGGGATGCTCGAATTCGGGGCTCCTCCTGATAACTCTTCTCTGTAGAATGCGAGGGGGTGAGATCCTCCTCAGAATTTGTCGATTGAGGCATCCATCTTAGAGTTGGCCTCGATGAGTTGGTTGAACCTTCTCTTCACCGATCCAACTATGTGTCTGTTGAACCCTCCGCTGGAAATGACCATGGCTGCGGGGAAGGGTTCCCATGGACTGTGGGTGGAGAAGTACAGGGGGGCATTCTCCATGTTCGAAAAGTAGAATTCTTCCGGCCATGAGATGCTCAAGGCGACCAGAATGGTGTCGAGGTTGGGGGATTTCTTCCCTTCCTCGACATTTTTAGACTCTGGTGCTTCGTCACGGGCGGCCTCCTTTTTCATATACTGTTTAGGGTGCCCGTCTCTGATCAGTATTTCGATTGCATCCTTGAGATGAATGCAATCCTCTGTGTTCTGGTCGCGACTCTTGTGGAACCTGCCGTACTTTCTCTTGTCAGTTCCTGGCTTTGATGGTGTTTGTCGGGGGAAGCGCACCCCGGCTTGCTTGAATTCAGAATTAGTGCATTCGGAAAGAATACGCTCCCTTGAGGTTTTCAGGAGGGTGTAGTCGTGGAAATGACCGGCCGGCCCCTTGTAGTCTTTAGGATCACGGGACCTGTTTTCCAGTTTCTTCACCCCCCGATGGGATATCGACGGTTCATCATTCTTTGAGGGTTTGGCACTCTCTCTGTGCCTGGATTCTCGGGCGCTGTTGGCCGCTTCCTTCTCTTCGTACTATATGTAAGCCTGGGCCTTTAGGAGAATGGAATCGAGCATGGCTGGTGTTTCTATACCCACAACGTTGGCAAAGTCGTTGCGGGGACGGAGCCCGCGCTCGAGTTGGTATTTCTTCATATTGTCCATTGTAATCAACCTGAAAAAATATGAAAAATTAGAGAAGCAAAGTGTCAAAAGGCTGGATCGAACATAGGCACTTTGAGACTAATGCTTTATCGCGCGCGCTTCCACCACTGGGGCGGCTATACATTCGTTATATAAACTAAAACGAAAGATATATATTATAACTCTACATGCATTAACCAGAGAGGCGTCGGAGCCCTAGCTCCAGTCATCTTCTCCAACTATCCTTTTTGTATCGCCTGCAAAATAAACGCCATTAGATAGAAAATAATACCCTACCCCCTAAATTGGGGGCTACGAATTCAATGGGGGTATTTTCATGGGATAAAACATAAAGAATTGAGAGATATAACGAAAACACATGAAACCAGTGCTAGCATGGTGTTTCACTACAAGAAAAATGATATATTGGGACGGTTATTTTGGCTGATTACGACGGTTAAAACCGTCGCAATTTACAATCTACGACGGTAGAAGTACCGTCGCAGAATCGTGCGTCCCCAGCCTATTTTGCGACGGTTGCAAAAACTGTCACGCACAACAGATAGCGACGGTTATATACCGTCGTGAATTTGACTTTATTTTTTGTTTTTGTTGTTGTTTGCGACGGTTATTCTACCGCCGTAGGTTAGAAATTGCGGCGGTTTTAACCGTCGTAATCTGATTTATAAATTTCAAATAATATTTTTATTTAAATTATTATTTAGTAAAATAATTTTAAATATAATATTATTTTACTATAATATTTTACTATTATATTTAAATTATTATTTACTTTAATATTTTTTTATTTATAGTATTTTATTTTATTTTCTATCACTTTTCAACATAATAAAGTTAATTACAATAAAAACATTTAATATCAAATAATCATCAATAATATCAAAAAAATGTGATCAAAGGTAAAAAGAAGTGCAAATTTTACCAATAAACAAGAAAAATTCAAATATCATCAAAGGCCAAATTTCATTTTAATATTTACATTGGTTTGCTACAACTTGAGAGAATTACAAAAAATGTTACAATATTCTACAAAATTCATGAAAGAAACCTCATAAACCCTAAAAAAATTAAATAGGAATAGGACAAGTATATATCTCAGAGATCATAAACATACAAGATACAAACTTTTCAACAATTACAACTAAAATCAAAATCATTTTTCCTTCAAAAACTAATCAAAACTGGTATTTGTTCTTTTATAGCAATTTCGCGTGCAGTATGAACTGCACTATAAACGGCAAGAGCATCATTTCCATCTACTCTGATACTCCATATCCCATAAGCTTGACCTTTCACCACAATGCCATCACCTAATCAAAACACCGAAGTCAATCATATAGACTTGAGAAAATTATATAGAGTCTGTTTGAATAAACAACTTAAGTAGGAAGAATTTGTATAGAGTACTTCGAAATTGTTCTTCGACAGGGGTACTAATGGCCCATCCGTTGTTACGACATATGAAAACAACTGGTGCCTCCATTACTGCTGCAAAGTTCAAAGCAGCATGAAAATCTCCCTACAATATTTCAAATATCAGCTAGAAGCATAATGATGCGTTATTCTATAATTACGTTCTTAAGAGAGATTGTTGGCTCATATTCATCATTACTAACCTCACTAGTACTTCCATCTCCACAAAAAGTGACTGCACAAGCACTTTTTCCGTCCATTTTAAGCGAATAAGCAGCGCCTACAGCTTGAGGAAGCTGTGTTCTGAATTTCTTGCCAAACAACATGAGCTTGTTCAGAAAAAAATGTCACGAATTAACAATTGCAACTATTTTTAACATGTTTATTACATTATGGCATATATGTCTTACGCAATAGGCGATGAAACTGTGAAGTAATTGTGTTTGTTAGAGCCGTAGTGTATTGGCATTTGTCTTCCTTTACCCAAATCGTTTGTATTTCCAAAGCATTGGTGAGCAAATTGTTGCAGAGTGAAACCGCGCCATAACAGAACTCCAGGCTCCCGGTACTAGCAAAAATGTAAAATAGCAAAATAAAAAATTTGGAAATGAATTTGAGAAGAAGAATGAGGGAATTTCAATGCCTTGGGGAAGAAGCAAACCTGAGGCAAGATAACATCATGAGAAGAAAGTGCAGCTGTTGATGCAATGTTAACAGCTTCTTCTCCTGATGTAGTGAGGTAGAAGGAAATTCTTCCTTGCCTCTGCAGCTCATAGAATATGCTATCCATTGTTTGAAGAGTGACCATCTCAGAATGCATTCTCACAGCCAATTCCTTGCTAACCTGTTGAAATATGGTCCATAAGTTTCTTCAACAAAATTCTAAGAAGCTCGGATACATATTACAACACGACATTGATTCGGAGATATGATATGATATGACATACCTGAACAAAAGAAATCAAGGGTAACAAAGCATTGTAGCAATCCATGCTAAACAAACCTCATAAACCCTAAAAAAATTAAATAGGAATAGGACAAGTATATATCTCAGAGATCATAAACATACAAGATACAAACTTTTCAACAATTACAACTAAAATCAAAATCATTTTTCCTTCAAAAACTGAAAATACAACCAATAAATAACAAAAAATATAAAAAAAAACTGATAGATTTATACTATGAACAGTTTAAACGATAATAATAATGATAATCACCTGAACTTCAGAAAGCTTTCCTTCATTGAGAACTTTGAAAAGGGCAAAACCCGCCGGCGTTTCAAATAGTACCAGCATTTTACCAGATTTTCAACAAACCTGAAAAACAAATCATCAAATCTTGCGTTAATAGAGTGTGAATGAAACGATAAGGAGAAAGAAGAAAGATGAAATGAAGACGAGAGCTTCGTAGAGAGCGAAAAGTATTGACCTTTGTTGAGACTGGTTTTGCGGTGGCGTCCTTCAGAAGATAGAGAAATAAAAGGAAGTGAGAGACATGATTTGCGGGAGGGGAATAATCCACGAGAACACAGAAAACTCACCTCTAATATTCTTTCATCTCTGAGCATTTTCTCGGTAAGCTCTGCGCTTTCTTTTTGAAGTTCTTGAAGATTTATGCTCTATTTCTCAGTAACTTAAATCTATCATCATCATCATCGTTACGGTTTTCGGCAGTTTCCTCCGCGGCTCATAATGAATCGACAACGCATCTTCTTCGACGCTTCACCATGAAGAGTAACAATCAATTGCATAAATTATCGTTAAATTGTTAGAAGAATAAAAAAGCAAATTACTAAATATACAAACAATCCTTATCCCCATATTTTGATATCCTATTATCTTTATATTATTCTCCATGAAGTCCTATTTATACAGCTAATAGCTCCAACAACCCAAGTGTGATATAGAGCTTCAAAATGAAAGGGTCCTTCATTTCTTCCATGGTTTTAATAATAGCACTAATGGTAATTACTTCACTATTTCAACCACAAACACATAACAAGCTAGTTGCAGCATCACAAAACAACACTGATGAAGTAGCTACTCATGGATGCATTGGACTGCACTGCCTAAATTATTTCGTCCGTGACGAAGCTGATTTGATCATGGATCAACTGGAAAAATCAAACGGACAACCTAACATCCAAAATTCTTTGGAGGATAGTAAACTTGCATTTAACTGTGGTCCAAACAAACATTACGGAGGAAGTTCATGTGTTGACAAACCTAGCCCTCAGTATCTAGACACAAAAGTTACTGGAAGGTGTAATCCAAAGTACAGAGATACATCATATCATCCTGCAGGCTGTCCTTAATAACTTCTTATTTTGTGTCTGTGTTTCTTCATTTATCTTTTCTTCTTATTCTTCTACTTTTTTATTTGTCATATTTTAATAAAATATAAGAGTTAATAAATAATTGTCTCACTCATATATTTTTAACTCTCGTTCGATTTTTTTTATAATGCTATGTAATTGCAAAGCTCCTTTTTACCACTTGCCACCAATGATTAGTTGTTACGTTTTGGCAGCATTAGTATATAAGATCAAAATATTAAATATACCAGAACACCAACATTTTATTTGATAGGTAAAGGGCAACTTGACATTAAAATAAGTACTAGGAATGCTCACCCTAATACAACAAAGAAAACCAAGAGAAAAACAAAACACCAACCAACAACAATTAATCAAAAACACCCACTAAGACCACTAAAAAAAACTACTCTAAGAAACTCCGAGATTATTACACCAATCGACTCAAAAAATGCTTTACCCATTTCTTTGAAAGACATTGAATCAATCCCAAGATAATGCTTTAATAAAACTCAACTTGTCCAAGTTTACAAGAACACTATCTTTAAAAAGGATATAGTTCCTACAAGACAAAATGGACCAACAAAAATTTAAGCCAAAAAATCAAAAAGAAGAGAAACAGAATCGACCGGATTCCGCGGAACTCATAAAAGAAGATATGGAAAAACAAGTAAGAAAGAAGAAGTAACGATACCTTTGAATCTTTCGTCGCCGAGAATCATCTTTACAACCGTCTTTGAATCCGTTGAGATCGGTTGTCTAACACTCTTCTTCCCATCCGTTCATGGTGTCGAGATGCAATTCTTGCTTCGCTGGGGTTTGCGTTTGAGCGTAGATAAAAGGAATGAAATGTCTGCTTAGATGAAAAGGGATGAAGCCCCGGGAATCGCCTGCTGAAACTCCTTCTCTGCCATTTAATTGCGTCTTGAAGCTCCTAAGGTTTCTACTGTTGATTAGATTTTGGAAGAACGAGGATTGATGAAAACCAAAGGCAGATTTGGAAGCGTGGCATCAAGACAAAGAGGACAAAGGGATAATTTCGAAGAATGGAAGCTTCACCATTCTAGGCGCAACATCGTACTTCCGGCGGTGGTTCTTTGCTTCAATCGGATAAAAAGCTCTTTCACAAAACCTAATCCTCTTTCAATTTTGTTTGTTACTCCTATTTTGTTTTTTTATATTTTTATTTGTTGTATTTTGTTTATAATTTAATAATAAATATTAGTTGCTGAAAATATTATGATATTGTGTTGCTGAAAAAAAGTGGGAAAGTAAAAGAATAAAAAAAAGTAGCGATATTGTGTTGATAATCTAAGATCTTTTTTAGTACTAGACATTGGATAATATATTTTAGGGTTCATAATTTGTAAATCTAAATTTTAATTTCATGTTATATTTGAATGTGTTAATGATGGATATAAAATCAAATTTATATAAATCTCAAAAAAAAAATGTTTTACCGCGACAGGTGTTTTACCGTCGTGCCCATGAGAATTTTTAAAGGTTTTGGGTGCGACGGTTGTTTTACCGTCGTGAAATGAATTTTAGGACGGATAATTTTACCGTCGTGAAAGGTTTAAGGGTGCGACGGGTGCTTTACCGTCGTGATATGCCTTTTAGGACGGTTAATTTTACCGTCGTGACTAGTTGTTGGTGAAAAATCAATGTTAAAAGTGTTAAATGGGGGCCGACGGTTGTTTTACCGTCGTAATAATAATATTATGATGGTTAAATATACCGTCGCAAAATAAATATTAGGGACGGTTGGTGTCAACTGTCGTAAACACTGTCTCTATATGTCAATTACGACAGTTATCACATAACTGTCGCAATTTTTGTGTCGTTAAACACTAATTTTCTTGTAGTGTTTCACGATTCAAAGTGCATGGGACCTCCATGAATGTTCTAACCTGCACTATCAATACTCATAAACAAGTTAAGGATGTTATTACATGTTAAAGCAAACAAGAAAACAAGATATGAATGTCATGAGCATAATGAGACCGACGATGCCATGTAGTGTGGTTCATATGTTTTGGACCATCAAATTTGATCCAAACTTACTCTATATGCTTACTGGAAAAAAAAATGGAACGAAGGCTTTATGGTGAAAGGGCTTGAAAATAGGGTTTAAAAAATTTAGGGTTCTTGAAAAAGTTTGATGTTTTTTTTTTGACAATTTTGAGGCAAATCTTTTCGTGTGTAAGGATTCTCTCTTTGATGTTTGAATATATAGAGAAAAATTGAGCAAAGATATGATGGGCTTGAACTCTTATAATTTTATCTTATTTATTTTATATTATTAATGAAGTAAATCAAAAATAATAAAAATAGTTAAAATAAAACAAGGTAAAGGGGTGTAAGAATAATTTTTGAAGTGTATGAAGAGTATAATACATGTCTGGACTCTTAAACCATGGCCTAATAGCCCAAAATATCAAGTTTGCTCATTTTGAACTTCATGCATTTGCTCAAAATTTATTAACTTGCAATGGTCATAACTCACTCAATTTTCATCTTCTCAAGGTTATCTTTGACTTTTTGGAAATATAAAGATGTCCTTTACAACCTATATGTTAATCATTTTTGCTTTTGAATATTTTATCTTAATGTAAGTTGCCTTGACAAAAAGTGTCTTTTTGTTGACTTTTGAAATGACATGTAATGTATTGGCTTATATCTCTCAAATGATGCATTTTTTGGACTTGAGCTTAGAGAGACAAAGTTGCAGAGTATTCAATTCCATTTAAAATTGGCTTTGGATAGGGAAAAGCTGATGAAGCATGTGAAAGTTATGCTTGGTCAAAGTTCAGTTGACTTCTCCTAAGGAAACCCTAATTTGGCAACTTTTGACTTTTGATGATTTGAGTGCTTTTCTTGAATAATCATGATCAACCCTTGATCAAATATTGTATATGACTTCGAAATGTTGATGTTGACCAAAAATCTTGAAGTTTAACTGTATGTTGACCATGGTTGACTTTTTACCCAATACAGTAGATTTTCCATCATCTGAGCAATTGACTGAGCAAACTTGTTATGCAAGGAATGAAACTTGACATGAGCATTCTTGAAGACCTATGGAGAACCATGAAAACAAATTGATACCTTTAGAAATCAATCTTCCTTGTTAAACATAAAACCCTAGTTATGGACCAATTGCTTAAGATGAGAATTTGTCTGATCAATTCTTGAGCCACCTTGAGCATTTAAGGACCTTTTGAGAATGCCTTGAAGAAAAATGGGAGGGAAAATTTTGGGGTACAACAGCTGCCCCTGTTAAATCTTCTTAAACCTGAAGATTTAGATTGGCATGTCCGCAATTCATGACTTGAAGGTAGAAGATGATTGAACTTTTAAGTGCCCAGAAATTTGCACTCGCATGTGCGCGAAGTAACACTGTTGGTTGATTATACCAGGAATGGGCTGAAAGATGCCATTTGGAGAGTAACAGGATGTTGGATATAGGCTTATAGAGGCAATCCAGAGTAACTGTTGATAGGAATATCAGAATAATTCTACGCCTAAATTTGTCTTAGAAGATGTATTTGGAATGAGTCTATGCTCGACTTTGGCCAAAAGAATATCAGAACAAATCTATGCTTGATTTTATCTGAATGATATGCTAGAATAAGTCTACGCTTTAATTTGTCTAGAAGATACGTTTGGAATGATTCTACGCTCGACTTTGTCCAAAAAGAATATCAGAATAAATCTACGCTTGATTTTATCTGAATGACATACTAGAATGAGTCTACGCCTGAATTTGTCTAGAAGATATGTTTGGAATGAGTCTACGTCCGACTTTGTCCAAAAGAATATCAGAATAAATCTACGCTTAATTTTATATGAACTAGAAGATGTCTACGCCCGACTTCAACTATAAGAGGAATTGAAATGAGTGTACACCTGAATTTTTTCCAAAAGAGTTTTATAAGGAATCTACGCTTGATTTCATCTGAACTAGAAGATGTCTACGTCTGACTTCAACTAGAAGAGGTATCAGAAAGAGTACGCCTGACTTTTTTCCAAAAAAGAGTATCAGAAGGAAATATATGGCTGACTTCATTAGAATGATGTACTAGAAGATGTCTACGCCCGACTTCATCTAGAAGGGATATTTTTCAGAATGACTCTCTGGGGAAAGTGTTTAAGCAACTACTTGTCAGATTTAGTCTCTGAGGGAAATACTTGTCAGAATTCAATTCCTGGATCTTGAACAAATAGTAAAGGATCTTCAAGCTCCAAATGCTCAGTTCCAACAAATGTTCCTAGCTCTGGCATAGGAGCAGGAAGATCTGAAAGCTCCTATCATCAAAGAGAAGATATAGAAGGCAAAGAAACCAGCTGGTGTATTGAACTTGGGAAGAAGGTTCAAAGGACTGGCTAAACGAGCTATAGATTTCACAACCCTGTCAAATGAGGGGGACAATCGAGAAGAGAAGCCAACAGAAGAAAACAACAATCCAGGGACTGATAAGGAAGAGGCTGATTACTCTAAAGAACAATATCCTTCTGCTGATGATAAATACAAACAGCTGGAGGATCGCCTCAATGCTATGGAGATTCAGGGGGTACCCAGGCTTGATTTTGAAAAGCTAGGACTGGCCTCAGGGGTGGTCATCCCGCAGAAATTCAAGGTCCCCACATTTTCTAAGTACGACAGCGTCTCCTGTTCTAAGCTGCACTTAAGGTCATATATCAGAAAGATTCAACCCCACACTAGTGATAGGAATCTGTGTGTACATTTCTTGCAGGAAAGTTTGGCAGGGACTCCGTTGGAATGGTTCTATCAGCTGGAGGGAACCAACATTCATAATTGGGAAGACCTGGCTGCTGCTTTTTACAAGCAGTGCCAATATAATGTTGACCTCGCTCCAACTCGTACACAATTGCAGAGTATGTCTATGGGTTCTAGCGAGGGTTTCAAAGACTACGCCCAAAAGTGGAGAGACCTTGCAGGAAGAGTCCAGCCTCCTCTATCTGATAGAGAGCTGGTG